CTGACCCACCCTCGTAACCACGCTCACGGGTTGGACAGTGACTCACACACACGCTTACACTCGCCTCTTAATATGTTGCCTTGGGACAGGGAGCCTGGCCCACGTTACACACCGTCAACATGTAAATATGAGAGACATGGAAAAAGCTTTAGAGCATCGGTGGACTGCACCTGTGATGCTTGGGAGTATGTTATATCCAATACAGGTCCTGATTGGGGTTATAATAATGAACACAGATTGAAGGGATTGGGAGTGATTCTGACTACAGACCACTCACAAACAAACAACGGTCGCTAGTCACTGTGAAAAATTGTGGGATTGATGTGAATGGGACTTACGTTATTGGACATTATCCAGGAGACATTAGACAATGGATTTCAATTGCCCTACCCGAGGACAAGGAGCTAGACAAGGAGGCCATAGATAGTGAAGTATGGCAAGACAAACAAAACGTACAGGTGACTGCTGACTGGACTGTTTCTGAATTGTTAAAACAAGCAACTGGATATGGGGATAGAAACGCTTGGTTGTGGACAGTGGAACACATGTCAGCGGCTGCTGGCTTTGACGATTGTGTTGTGTGTTCTACTGCACGTCCCACTTTGTATACAGCCCCTGCTCCACTTTTCCCAGAAGATGTAGATGGTTATAATTGTATGATAAAGTTGTTTTGGCAAGAAAAAGACCTGACTGAGGAGACAAAGAGAAAGACAGCCCTAGTAATTGTTCAATGTTTGAAGTATTGTTTCCAGAATTGGATTCAGAAATTCAGCCCCCTATGTTTTCCCACAGGAAAAGCAATTACACCTGTTTCCACTCACTCAATGGAGGGACGAGGCCGCGTCTCCAGTGGGGGTTCCTTCCAGCAGACTGGTGTGTCAACAACGTCACCCTGCCCAGTCCGGTCCACATGACCCGGACCAGAGGTGATTTGTATTGGTTGTGTGGAGATTTAAAACTTAGACATAGACTAATTAAAAATTTTACAGGTAGTTGTGCAATGGTGCGATTAATGATGTCCATTTCCATAATTGGCCATAAGCCATCCCTAGACAGTCCCCACCCACTGCATAGATTTAAAAGAGCAATACCATTCCTAGATACTGGGAAAGATAATCCAACTTACATGGACTCTATAGGTGTTCCACGTGGAGTCCCTCATGAATTCAAACTGGTAGATCAAATTGCAACAGGTTTCGAAAATATTCCAATAATTTCCGCTATTTTCCCTATCACGCCAAACAAAAAGGTAGATAGAATTAATTTCATTTGGTATACTATGCTTAGGCTTGCCAATCACACCAGGGACGCAATAGAGGGATTGGCGGAGCAGCTGGGGGCCACCTCTCTGGTGGCATTTCAAAACAGAGTGGCTCTAGACATGCTCTTAGCAGAGAGAGGTGGGGTCTGCAGTTTATTTGGTACAGAATGTTGTGTATACATTCCAAATAACACACATCCAGATGGATCAGTTTCCAGGGCTCTGGCTGGTCTCAAAATGCTGTCAGAGCAAATGCATGACGTTTCTGGAGTCCCGGAGAACCACTGGAGGCGTGGCTGGACAGCATCTTGGGGAAGTGGAAGCATGTAATTTTGTCTGTTATCACAAGCCTTGCGGCCATCTTTGCAATAATAATGGTTGTAGGATGCTGCTGTATACCTTGTATACGTTCTCTTTGTGTTAAAGCTATAGACACCGCTGTTAACCCTGGACTGAGAGGTCAAATGCTTGCATTGGTTGAGGATTCCCCCGTCCCGTCGCCTGAGGAAGGTTATTGAAATGTGTGGCCTTTTTTAATAGCGGCCAAAAGAGGGAACTGTTGTATTAAATATAGGCTAAAAGGCGATGTGAATTAGATTGACCTGAAATTGAACTCTGTCTGTCTCCAAGCAAAAAGAAAGACCTTGTATTGCCCTACTCCCCTTGTCCCATTTTGTCCAAAGTGCATGGGTGAGTTAATGATAGTTAATCTGGGGGGATTCTGCTAATCTTTTCAAGTTGTGAAAGAAGGAGAGCTTTCTGCCTTATCTCAAAGGAACCAATAAATCTATAGGCTGGGGAGGGGGAGTGTGTGAATGATTATGTCTAGGTCTGGCGAGACGGAGAAGACATGATGGAGGCCGGACCCGGGACCCGAGAGAAACGACACGCCCCTTCTTCATGCACATTTGCTTAAATAACCTCATGCTTTTTTTAGACTAGACTGGATCAGGGACAGCAGTGTGACTTTGCGTGGAGCGCCCACCAAAGTTATACTTTATACTTTATATAGGGAATAAGGGATAGTTAAAGTTGGTCCAGGTCGTTGTGTTAGATTCTTTTGTATTAGGGAAATAAACCTTTTTTGAATTTAACTTTCTGAATCCTGGTCATCTTTATAAGGGATTTTGAACACGTCATTTTTTAATACGATAGCCACAACTCCACCAGACCGTCACCCTCTCCAAAGGACAGGCAAGACGCATGGACGCAGAGCGCACACAAGTCGCCCGCCCTCTTAGCAGACGCCAACGCCAGCAAGAGGGCAGTCTTAAAAGCAACACACTCGGGACTCGCCTCCGCCACCGGTTCAAAAGGCGGGCCCGATAGACCCCTAAGGACCACCCTGAGGTCCCAAACCGGGGGCGTTGTCTGAAGCGGGGGCCTCCTTCTGCGGGCCCCCCGCAGAAAACGTTTGACCAACGGATGAGAGCGGGCTGTGAACCCCCCGAAACCGTCGTGACCCGAGGTAATGGCTGCCGCGAACACCGCCAGGGTGGCAACAGCCCTCCCTTTGTCAAATAGTTCCTGCCGGAATCCCAGGACTCCTTCCACCCTGCTCTGGGGGCTGCAGGCCTAGCGGAGCAACGTTATGGGCCCGGGAAGTAACACAATCAGACACATTAGACATGTTACGTACCCCCAAATGAGACTCAGACAACGAGTACTGATGAAATGCCGGTCGGCCTTTATTGAAAGAATTCTTACCACCCCGGCCTCCTCTACCATAGGGAGGCCGGCGGTGGGTGCGCTGTTCCCGCGAGCCTCCCGTGGGTCTGTCCGGACCCGGGGGCCTCGTCGAGGGGGGACGATGGATGGCGGAGCGAGGATACGGGTCAGGGCGCCTCCTGGGCGAACGCTCTCTGCCTCTGTCCCGGCTCCGTGACGGCTGGTGGGCCTCGCGCCTCGGAGCTAGGTGCGGGGCTAGCCTAGCCGAGTCTTTGGCTGCAGACTCCAGTCTCTCCACCAGGGCCTGCATGTCAGGGCCGAAGAGGGACGTCTGGGAGATGGGCAGGTCCAGCAGCTGTCTCTTCTCCGCCTCCTTGATGTAAGCCAGCCCAAGCCAAAGGTGCCTGGCCCCAACTTGGGCTGCAGCCATGGAGCGGCCACCATCCACGGCCAACGCCTGGCTCATGCGCAGGATCGCCGCGGAGGTGGTCCTAGCCTCTGACAGGAGGTCTCCACTGAGCGCCTGGCCAGAGGAGAGCGACCTATCCAGGGCCCCCGTGATGAAAGCCATGTTGTTAGCCAATGCGACGACCTGAGCCGCATTGGCATAACACCTGTCCAGCATCGCCAAAGACATCCTGTCCCGCTCGGAGGGAAGGAGAGGTCTGGCGCCGGGCCACACGGATGCGGAGGGCTGCAGGGCCATGCGGACTGAGTCCTCTATGTCCGGGACACCACCGGTCCAGGACCAGTCCTGCACGCTGCAGTACATGCCGTACCCCAGAGCAGGCCTCTTGGCTGCTAGCGGGGCGTAATGGAGGATCGGGTCCATCCGCGGGCACAACGTGGGTTGTTTCCTCCTCCTCCCTCGAGTGGTGGCGCCCACCGAGGTGAAGTCCTCCACCGTCTGGACCGGCTGCGGTGGTAGAGGAGCATCCATGATGGCCGCCGCGGAGGAGTAGAGACCGGGCATGTGGTCCAGCGGAAAGCGGTCCGGCTCCGGGTTGGACACCACCTGGTCCAGTGTGAGGAGAGAGCCGTCCTCCGAAGCCTCTCCAACCTCGCAGTCACCCCATTCCGCGGGCACGGGCGGAAGATCGAGTGGGGCCCAGTCAATCTCAGACTCCTCGTCCTGAGAGGAGTCCGGACGGGGCGCTGTAGCGGCGAAGAACGCGCGCCTGCGTTCACTCTCCTCCCTGGGGAGAACGAGACACGAGGCGCAGCTCGCGCTCAACGCCGCATGGCCCGGACCCAGGCACATGAAGCAGCTGGCATGCTGGTCCGTGCGCTGAAACCTGACCCGACAAGTTGAGCAGCGACGACGTCCGACGGCGGAGGGCGAAGGGGAACTCGGACGAACAATGGAAGACATCTCAGAACGAAGTAAGTACTGTGGTAGATCTCAATCGGCGCCAGAGTGAAAAGGGGGCGCGGCTATGGAGCAGGGGCTTTTATAGAGGAGGGTCGCTAGTGATTGGAGCATTTTTTGTTTGATCTCTCTGGCGTCTGTGACCTGGGGGTCACGTGATATCCCACTAGCGAAGTCCGCTAAGGGACGTAGCACCATGACGTAGAACTTTTTCACACTGACAATAATGAGAAAGAGGCAGAATCTACAACACAGTCTCAGGATGTTCTGACCCGATTCGAGCGCTGTCCAACTACTGTCACAAGTTTCAACTGAACTTGTTTGTAATGGTGGGGGGGTTTAATTGCAGAGGATGAAGGTTGTAGAAGTGAAAGGGGCCGAATTATCTGATTATGGGAGATGAGAGCGATGGTGATGTTTCCAAAGAGACAAAACCTCTTAAAATTACAGTGTTTATTAAATAAAAATACAAGGATAAAAGTTATAAAAGTCCTTAGTTAAAACCCAGAAACCTCTGGTGTGGGGGCTCCGGGGGGATTGTGCCCCAATGGCTGAGACTAAAGCGGGCCAGAGGCAGGTCGACGTCGCTCGTCCCCAATGCGAATGGCGGACACCGCTTCTAGGGGGAGAAAGCACACCGGCAGAGCACATCACACGGATAGGCCAAAGGCTATGAGTGTAAAACGTGTCTTGAACCGCTACTTACAGCGCAGGCGGGGTATGAGCCCCTCCGCTGTGTGTAGGTCGCTTCACGGTACGCCCAGTGCCTCTGCGTCCTCGCTCTTCACCACGGATTGCAGTCTCCAGCTGCCGCTGTTGACCCCGGGCCGTAGACCTCTAGGGGAGAGAGCACACCGAAGCAGAACACAGCACATGAATATACGGCAAAGGCCACAAGGGGTAAACGCGTCTTGAACCGCTACTTACTGCGCAGGCGGGGTATGAGCCCCGCCGCTGCATGTAGATTGCTTCACGGTTTGCCTCCTTGGTACTTGATGTGTCCCGCTCGTGGTCCTCCTTCGTGGCTTGTTCTTGTCTCCATGCGTCTCCGTGTTTCTCCGTGCTAGTCCGTGCTTCTCCGTGCTCGTCGCTGTGCTGTTGTTGCCACTCTCTGCTCGTTTTAAGAGCCTGCCTGCCCATTAACGCAGGTGCAGTGATTATGAGGGACGCCCAGTTGGCTGGTGACAGTCAGGTGGTAGGGGTAGCTATGGCTTGACGAATAAAGGAATTCTTATCTTATTAAAAGCACAGCAAAACACACACACACAGCAATACAAAAATAAACAAAAACCCGCACAGTTCTGGGAAAACGCCTCAAATAAAACACACACAGAATCCCCACAAAACAATCGCCAGAATAGATTACTTTCACGTGACGTCACATCCTGTGAAAAAAGGCTCAGCTTCCCTGAGGTCGGCCATGCTGGTGGTGTAGTACGCTGCTGTAGCTGTATGGCCACACTTTCTAATGTCACATTAGAGTCTTTCAAGCGTCACTTAAGTTCTTTGAAGCAATACCATACAATTGTGCCGAGTTTCATTGTGCTAACAGCAAGCGTGACAAGGACAAATGTAGTTTTTATCGTTTCCCGGACTTGTTTGGTTTACGTTTTTGTTCCATCTCGGAAATTGGAATATAGGGCACTTGTTTGACATAGGTTAGCATGACTCACTTGCTCTTCTCCTGGGTATAGGGAACTGAACCCTCCACACCGCAGCTTCTACTGCAAACAACAGTGCTCCTACACACAAGCTTCATTAAGGCCAGCCATGCAGCTACAGTGCGCGAACATAACATTTCCGTCATTCTCAGCCACAAACCAAGTTCTCAATGGTGTTTCTTGTCACGCTTGCTGTTAGCACAAAGACTTCATTTTGGGTTTACATTTTGAGCTTGAAACTGACCACAAGCCACTAGTGAGTCTACTGGGAGGACAAGCTTTAGATGCACTTCCACCGCGCATACAGAGGTTTCGAATGCACCTGATGAGGTGTTCTTACACAATAAAGCAAATCCAGGTAAAAGCATCACTACAGCCGACACACTCTCAAGGTTACCGCTCACACAGGGTGTTACTCAAGGAGACTCAGATCTTATGGAGGACACTAACATTTATGTTGACTCTGTGCTGGAAGGTGCCACAAGCAGCAAATATCTTGCAGATGTTCTAGAGCAGCTTTGGTCCGACAGCGTCTGTTTACAAATCATGAGGTACTGTACAGAGGGCTGGCCGGACAGGAATTAATAGTACCTAATGTAACTTAAGTTCTACGAATAGGTGCGTAGTCCCTTAGGACTTCGCTAGTGGGATATCACTCGTGACCCCCAGGTCACACGCCAGAGAGATCAAAATAATTTGCTCCAATCACCAGCCACCCTCCTCTATATAATGCCCCTGCACAAGGCGCACCCCTCTTGAACTCTGCCAAGCCGGGCTGGCCTGATGGGCTCGTAGCTAAGGGACTACGCACCTATTCGTAGAACTTAAGTTACATTAGGTAACTATTAATTCTACGTCATGGTGCTACGTCCCTTAGGACTTCGCTAGTGGGACACAACGCGGAGGCCGTAGGAACATGTACTCCAGCAGGCCAGCGAAGGGTGATTGGAGCTCCGCCGAGCAAGACCCTCACACAGTGAGAGGACTCAGGGCAGAAGAAACAATGCGTGTTACAGGGCCACTCCTACCAAGGATACCCCCACGTAACACAGATGTAGGTCATCCGTAGTCACAGGACGCCTCTTCCCAAGGGCTCCTGACGTGGACTACTGACCGACCAAACACACATATATGTACCGCACCTGTAGGATGCCTCTCCCAAGAGCTCCTGAACCAGGGCGGAAAGTAAACCGAAGGCCCCCTCTGGGAGGGACCTAACGGTCTAACTCAGTCCGCTGCACTCAGCACGGAATGGGCCACCGACCGGTCCGACACATCCAAAAGATAAGACCGGACGAAAGAAGAGGACGACGCCCAAGGAAGCCGCACGGCAGACGTCCTCGACCGACACACCCCCTGAGAAGGGCCGTAGAGGCCGCCATCCCACGCGTGGAATGCGACCTGAAGCCCACCGGGGGGGCCAGACCTTGCGTCTGATACGCCCGCCGCACAGCCGTGGCGACCCAGTGCGCCAGCCGCTGAGCCGACAGCGGGGCGCCCCTGTTCTTGGGGGCCCAGACACACAAACAGCTGACCACCAAAGTGGTTAGACCCGTGATTTTTTATCTCCCTGTGTGGGGTCTCACACAGAGAAAAATCGGCCGACAATTTTAAAATCGTCTCGTGTGAACCAGGCTTTATCCTGATGACTCTCGACCTAAAGGCCGACGTGATGACCTTGGGGAGAAAGGCCGGATTGGGCCACAATTCCACCATGCCGTCGCCCTCTCCAAAGGACAGACAAGACGCATGGACGGAGAGCGCACACAAGTCGCCCGCCCTCTTAGCAGACGCCAACGCCAGCAAGAGGGCCGTCTTAAAAGCGACACACTCGGGAATCGCCTCCGCCGCCGGTTCAAAAGGCGGACCCGACAGCCCCCTAAGGACCACCCTGAGGTTCCAAACCGGGGGCGTTCTCTGGAGCGGGGGCCTCCTTCTGCGCGCCCCCCGCAGAAAACGTTTAACCAACGGATGAGAGCGGGCTGTGAATCCGTTGTGACCCGAGGTAACACCTTCAACAGCCAAAATAATACCCCTATGGGAGTTTTGGAGAGAAAGTTTGTTGTATAGTCATGAAATTTGGTACACATGTTCCACAAGTCAAGACAAGAAAAAAATATTATTATGGCTCCGCCCTCTGACAAACAGGAAGCCCATAAATTTCACTGCAAAATGGAAAAATGAACAGCAAAAGTTCTCACACATGTCTGTTGGAAAGCGACTCCTACTCGGCCGTTTCACCGTTTCGCCTCAAAGTTGCTCCACATCATCTCAACACATGTACCTTCAAAATGACCTCAGGGAATTTTGATCAGTGAAACATTGTTTGAGCAGCGGAGCGGCAAAATGTGACCTTTTTTTGGCCGCTTTTGACAACATTAATTTTGCTCCCGTTTGCACAAACAAAGTCTGATTTTCACAAAACTTTAATACATTGTTCAACTCTAGGGTCTAGGTCATTTGAAAGTGAATTGATTCAAATTGACACATTAGCGCCCCCTACAGACTATTTCAAAGTTTTAGATGGGCATTTTCAAATTTAGTTTTTTCAAAATGTTTGAAATTTTGCACATGTACACCTCACACAAATATCAAACCAGCCTCGGCCGTTTCACAGATTCGCCTCAAAATCGCTCCACATCATCTCAACACATGTACCATCAAAATGACTTCAGGGAATTTTGATCAGTGAAACGTTGTTTGAGCAGCGGAGCGGCAAAAAGTGGCGTATTTTTTTTCAGTTTTTGACAATAGAAAAATTGCTTCTGTTTGCACAAACAGTCTGATTTGTACAAAACTTGAATCCATGGTTCATCTCTTGGGTCTAGGTCATTTGAAAATTAATATTTTGAAATCGGCTCTATAGCGCCACCTACAACAGCCAATTTAAAAATGCCTATGGGAGGGGTTCAAGGTCAAAATTGTCGTAGAACCATGTAATTTGGAACACATGTTCCTCAAGTCAAGACATGGAAAATTTGTTATTATGGATAAGCCCTCTGACAAACAGGAAGCCCATAAATTTCATTGCAAAATGGAAAAATGAAAACCAATCATTTTCATACACGTCGGTTGGAAAGCAGCGACGACTCGGCCGTTTCACCGATTGGCCTCAAAATTGTTGCAAATCTTCTCAACACATTTACCTTCAAAATGACTCCAGGGAATTTTGATCAGTGAAACGTTGTTTGAGCAGCGGAGCGGCAAAATGTGAGGGTTTTTTTGGCCGTTTTTGACAACGTACATTTTTTTCCCGTTTGCACAAACAAAGTCTGATTTGCATTAAACTTGAATCCATTGTTCAACTCCAGGGTTTAGGTCAGGTGAAAGTGAAATATTTGAAATTTGCCCATTAGCGCCCCCTAAAGACTGAGTCAAAGTTTACATGGGGAGCCAAACCAGCTCTACTTATCATATTCATTACATATTGACTAACAATCGTCTATGGCTACGGGAACAAATCATCACATGGCGCCGCCACCTGCTTTAAGCGGTGCTGCGTGGTACGGTGTGGTGCGGCGTAGTGCGGGGCATTGTTGAGCGGCGTGTTGCGGGCGGCGTGATGCGAGACGGTGTGGTGTCGTGCAGGGCGGCGTGGTGCGGGGCGGCTTGGCACGGGGTGCAGCGAGGGCCGTTCGACGCCGCTTACGGCTTCAATTTGACATTTGTATCTGTAGCAGAACAATCTGTGTAAATAACCATGTTGTACGCACAGGCTCTGTTTTACACAAAAATCTCTTTTTGACACACCTCTGCCGCCAAGCGTGTGTCAAAAAGATTCATAAGTGTAATGTGATTGTTCTAGCAGTACACCAGCAGATGGTGCTGTTGTAGCTGGTTATTACCTACACGCAAGCAAACCAAAACCTACTGCCTTGACAAGATACACATGGATCTATTATAATAACTGGATAGGGTGTTACTAGCTTGGAGCTGAAGGATTCTCGCGTACTGCAGACTAAATTCACGTGGGCTACACAGAAATTGTCCCTATAGAACTCAATGTAATATAATAATATTTGCTCTAAACAAGTGGATTTGATCTTAGCTTGAGTAATAATAATGTTTTAATAATAATAATAATAATATTTTGAACCATCAGAATTTCAGAATAAATAAAAAACCTGAATAGTAATTAGTAGTAATATAAAATTATACGGAATGGAATGGTTGTTGGATTTCTGTGCCGCTTCAGTGTCTGCTATAACCTCATTTAACAGAGGAGAATATAGTTTTTTATATTTTTAAAACACATGTCCTTCTTCATTTCATTAAAAACAAGACACTGTTGCTTTTCCTTTTGGCAAATCTTGTTTTAAGGCTCGACTAAAAGTCACACATTTTTGCCAAATTTGAGCAATTTTTGACTTGTTTTCATATGTTTTTGCAGTGTATGGACTGTATCTACTGTAGATCAGGGGTCTCAAACTCCAAGTATCTGGGGGCCGCATGAGGTGGAGTCTGGGTGAAGCTGGGCCG